CCCATGAAGTATGCATTCTCCTCCTCAGTGAAGTTTGCACCCTTCCTTCCCGGTGCGGTCTGCCCCATATCAGAGTTGCGTGAAGAGATTCTTGATTATATATGGGAGATTCCAATTTATATCCTCATGAGGATGACCATTATCCCTAATGAAGTGATTTCTTCTCCCCAGTACAAAATCCTTACCGGAATGAATCTTGCAGAGATGACTACACCCAGTGCAATGAGTATTTTTGATGTTACCATCTAAAGTTTTTTGGCTCCCCAATGTAAGAGGTAGTTTTTTCGTCCCAGTCGAAGTCTAATTTCGAGGACCTTTTGGATTAACTTGTCTATTATTCCCTAATGGAGAAAGTTGTGTTTCCACAACAATTGTCTTGTTTCCCCAGTGCGGTATGCATAGGAAATCCAGTCATAACTCTTTTCATCCCTGGTGATAGAAGATGGTTGAGATATCCCCGGTGGAGCTTTTATCCCGAGATACTTGCTTCTTCCCCAGGCAAAGATTTTTACCCCGACAGTTTTATCCTCAGTATGGTCTGAGTAGAATTATTTTATTTAAGAATTTTTTTGACTCCCTGGTAGAAGTTATCTTCATCAAGAAATTCTACGTGATAAAGTCTCTATTCCTAACGAAGTTCTCCTCATCCTAACAGGAGGAAAAGGAAACTGTTCCCTGGGAAGTTGGGAGTTTGATCAGAATTCAAGATTTTCTATGAACTGCAATTTATTTTTGTAGTATTCTCCCCAGGAAGTTACATCCCCAATGATATCGATCTTCAAAAGTTGATGGTTCCAAATCTCGATTCCTTATTGAAGTTTAGATTGATTATTTTCTACAGAGGATCAGATGTGCAAGAATAATCGGTCGGAAGTCTCTTGTCTTCTTAGCAGTCGATTATTGTCGTGTTTTCCCAAGTGCCTCGCTAAACATGCATCATTATATTTCATCTACCAAAACAAAAAATAAAACCTAACATGCATAGGTATAGGCCAATTATGTTTACCTGCAATAATCAGATTGTTATGCACTCATATTTGAGTTACCTCCGTAGTAAGCATATGGTGATCCTTTCATGTTTTCCCAGTGGAGCCTCTTTGATTTACCACCAGTTGGGCCTTTTTTTCTTTCCATTTCCCTAGTGATTTGTTGTTTTTTCCTTGCCCTTGCAAGCCTTTGGATATTTTACCCATGTTTGCTTTGCCGTTAGAGTGCGAATAAGAGTCGTTGTATAACCTATCTTATTTCTCAAGTATTTGAGTATCCATACTTGGTGTGTGGTAATTTAGATGATTTCCACTCTTAAAGAATTACACCCCACCTTTGGCATGGGGATATTATGGTTATTGTGCCTTTGCAACCTCTTAAAGTCCAGCGTGTGTTGGCAATCTTTGTCTAGAGTCCTACATTCGGTATCTTTCCAAGTTGAGAGTTCTCCTTCGACCATTGTTCTATTTGGGTTCAATACAAATGTGAAACCCCAGTAAGTACTTTTCCCCAAGAGTTTACCCTCAGCTAGTCTCCTTGTCTTGGCATGTTCTCCTGTGTTCAAGTGTCATTTGTTAGAGTCATCTTCAGTCGATCTCTTTCTTATATGTGTCTAACTCTGACTAGACGTGTATACTTTATCCCCAGTAAGTTCGCCTTTGAACGATGTTCTTTCTCCAGGAGTCTATCTTTGGTTAGGATTTCTTTTTGGAGCCTTCTTCAGTCGGTATCTTCGTTGTTCGTATGTGTTTATGGCGTATACCCATTATCTTTTATGTCCGCTACAAACTCCGGACATGATATTTGATATTCCTGATGGAGTCCTTTCTTTTGGTATCCTTCGTATATGTTTGCTACCAACTCTGAACATATATTCATGATATCTTTGTAAAGATTCCTTTCCTCCGGTCTCTTTCTTGTAATATGTTTGCTACCAACTCCGAACATATATTCTTGATATCCTCGATAGAGTCTTTTCATCTAGTCTTTGTCGCATATGTTCTTTCCTCCGAAGATGTGGTTATGGTATCTTGTTTAAAGTGTCCTTTCTCCAGGTCTCTTTATTATTATATGTCTGTTACCAGCTCCATACATGTAGTATCAATATCTTTGGTTATGTGTCCTTTCTTCTGGACGTATATTCCTGATATCCTTGGGTTAGAGTCCTTTCCTCCGGCCTCTCTCCTAGTATATGTCCTTTCCTCTAGACGTATATTCCCGATATCTCCGACAAAGTCCTTTCATTCGGTCTCTTTCATATGTGTTTTCTACTAACTCCGAGCATATAGTTGTGATATCTTTGGTTAGAATCCTTTCCTTTGGCCACTCTCCTATTTTATGTTTGCTACCAAATCTAGACATGTATACGTGATATCTTGGTTATAGTCCCTTCTTTCGGTCTTTTTCTTATGTGTCTACTACCAAATTCAAACATGTTGATATCCTTGTTAGAGTATTCTTCGGTAGGTCTCTTTTGTATATGTCCTCTACCAACTCTGGGCATGTACATTTGATTTCCCCTTGTATATGTCCTTCCCTTCGGACGTGTACTCATGATATCTTTGGGTTAGAGTCCTTTCCTTCGATCACCTCCCCATTGTATGTTTGCTACCAAATCCGAACATATATTTGGAATCTTCGATAGAGTCTTTTCCTCCGGTCTCTTTCTTGTCATGTGATTCACCATCTCCGAACATATGTCCATGATACCCTTGTAAGAGTCCTTTAATTCGGTCTTTTTCTTGTGTCCACTACCAGCTTTGAGCATGTCTATTCGATATCTTTCGTATGTGGCCTTTCCTCCATACATATATTGTTGGTATCTTTGATAAGGCTTCCTTAGGCTAGTCTCTGTCGTTTGTGTTTGCTACCATCTCTGAACACATGTTCTTTGATATCCAATTCTCTTTTGTGTAATTAACCTTGACCTGATATACATCTATCCTTGATAACCACTAGCGGCAAAAAGCAAAAAAATATATATACATAAATCCAAAAAATAAATAGTATATGATTGGGCTTCAGATTGCAAATTTTACGGTTCTATTAAATATTCAATCCTCTTCCACCCTGATTGTTCGAAAGGCTTGTGCCAATCTCACCCTCTGTTTAAAGAAGATTGAATAGGGGAAGCTGTTGTACCCCAAAAATTGCCCTCTTAATTTTTAATTCTAAATAGCTTATATTTCATTACCATATGCATACATACATGTCATTGGATCTATACTCATGGGATCAAGGCATTTTATCGGCATCAAGCTCTGAGGCAAGTGTTTTACCAAGCGGTACAACAAAAATAGAAATTCAAGGTTTTTCGTGTTTTAATGTGCTCCGTGCAGTTTCCAAGTTATCTAAAAAATTTCCAAGAAGGTCAGAATCAAAGTTCTCATGTATTTCAATGTACTCTGAATTATGGAAGAATTGGGTGTTTCGATGAGTTTGAGGCAGTGTGAACCAGAAACAGTGTCTTTGCTGGTTTGAGCTTAGAAATTCGAAACTTTCCATCAGAGTACTGTTTCGAGCTGATTCCTCAAGCATTGGAACAGTCTCGTTATTTTCTTTATTTCATCTAATCATGCTAGAAGCCAATTATACGTAGAAAGTCTCTGAATAATTTGATTTCTCTAAAGCGGTGTCTGGACTTCATGACGAGTTATTTGTTCACTGAGTGTTTGGAAATTCGTAACTTTCATCCGATTTGGTATTTTCAGTGGATTCCTAGATCATTTAGACTGTATTGATTCTCTTATCATTTCTCATGTTTATATCAAAAGCAAATTTTGTGAAGAAAATCTCTTGGAATTTTAATTCTTTGAAGACAATATAGTGATTTTATCTGTTGGTCCGTCGTCGCGCGGATAATAAAAATTTGTATGTTCTTATTGGAATACTTTTTTGTGGTGATTCTGGAGGTTTTAAAACTGTCTTAATGTCTTCTCCAACTCTCTTATTCGGACCGAAAGCTAATTCTTTGAGGAAGGCTTCCGAATACACGATTCTTCTGGAAGTGATACAGTGAAAAATACTAAAAATACTGTGCTAAACCGTAATTTTTCGGAGATTCAAAAATTCATAACTTCTGACTGGAATACCATTTTTGAGAAGTTCTTTTTGGAAAAAAAATATGTCTTGATGTCTTCTTTGTTTCATATTTTCGAACCAAGAGCCCATTCCTTGAGGAAAGTCCCCGGACTTATGGATTATCAAAGAAATAATTGTGCTGAACTAGAATTGTAATTTACTGTTTCTGGATATTGTAAATTCGTAGCTCCTTCGATTTTTATCGTATCGAGATGGTTCTTTCGGAAATATTCACATATGATGTCAGCTACAAGTTTTCTTCAGATTCCAAATTCAAATTTTGATCGGAGCATTGTCGTTCAAGGCGTTTTTTCGGACTGAACGTTGAATTAATTGAAAAAAAGTTGTTTTGATTCATTTTGCTATGCACCAGTGCAACTTCGAAAATTCACTAATTCCTCATCTTTTATCTGATTGATCCCATTCTTTTTGTGTTGCATCACAAATTTCATCGTCTAAAACTTTTCTTCAGGTCCTAAATCTATATCTCGCTCCGAGAGGCACGCTGTTGTCACTTAAGCTCGGAATAAGCTGAAAAATCCACTTTTATAATTTCCGATTTGAGGTCTCATCACTTAAAGTTATTGAACTCACTCAATTTTTATCGTATCGCGTCCTTTATTTTTGCATCACATCACACATTTCGTCACTGAAGATTTTGTTTTTGACTGCAGGTCTTGATTTTGTGCCGATTATTATGAGGATTGGGTTTCTATCGATTGCACATGAAAAAAGATGGAAAAAAGCAAGCCAAACACCACTTTAAGGACAAGCTATATATATATATATATATATATATATATATATATATATATATATATATATATATATATATATATATATATATATATATATATATATATATATATATATATATATATATATATATATATATATATATATATATATATATTTGAATTTCAAATTTTCATAGAGAACTCCCATAATCTCATTTTCCCTTTTCCCTCTCATTTTCTATTCTCTATATTCTCCCAACTCTCTCACACTTTTCTCTCAATATCATAACAACACCAACACAAAAGAAAAAGAAAATAAAACTCCTCCTCCTTCAAGAAGCAACGACCGGTCATCACCTCTATCCGCCACCACTGCATCGCTATGTTGGTTCCTTCTGGAAGTCTTCCTCTCCACTCTTCGGCGCGATAGCGCCCTTCCCCCCGGCTCTGCTCCTCGCGATTTCCCTCTGTCAACCCGCTCCCTCTGTTGTGCAAGTTGCTCTTCTGTTGTGTTTCTCTCTTCGTCGCGGCTGCATATCTCCGATGAACTTCACTTCTCCGACGATCTCCTTATCATTTCTTCCAATTTGATTTTGGTAACAACTTCTAAACTCTTCTTTGATTTCATCAATTCTTGTAGGATTTATTTGTTGCTAATTTGAGAGTATGAATTTGGAATTTGAATTGTTGATGTTAATTTGAATTCAAGAATTGGTGAATTGAATTATGTGAATAATTGTGGAGAATTGGACTTGTGATAATTATTGTGGATCAAAGGTTTGCTAAAATGCTTGAGTAAATTTCTTGAGTTCAAGATTTCTGATAATTGTTGTGAATTAATGGATCTTTGAATTGATGTTAATTTGTGAACAATTCCTAAAATTGGAATTAGTTGAGTTGCTTGAGAATTTTTGTGGATAATGATATTTCGGTTGATACTTGTGTTGAATTTTGTGTTGGCGCATAAATCCAGATTGTTGAGATTTTTGTGAAGTTTAATGTGATTGTACGTGAATTCATGAATTAACATAATTGTGAATTCGAACCAGATCTTTTATTTTTTTTCGATACTAAAAACCGGTCCAGATTGAATTATGTCAATTCTTGAATTGTGTGGATGTTGTGATTTCGGATTGCAATTGTTGGAGTGAATTTCATTTCGGTATTGAATTTGTGTTTCTGGACTGTTTTTGTTAATTTGGTGTGTCAATTGAAACCCATGTCATATTGTAGCTTGTGTCAATTCATGAATTGATGTGATGGTGGCTTGAGGCAATACATTAATTCACATCTCTTTTGACATTGAAACATTGATTCGAAGCCAATTACATCAATTCTTGAATTATCTTTCATGCTTGGAATAAATGCTTGTTAATGTGAATTTTTGGTGAGAATGCTCGAATTGCAACATGCGCACATTTTATGGTAATGTAGCTTGGACCGGTAAGTGATTTTGGTGCCATCCGTGTGGTTTTTAATACAATTTCGAACTGATATTTTCATGTATAAAGTTGTCCTGTATCAAAAAATGCTCTAAAAGTCATATTTCGGCTTAGTATTTATTCAAACCGGATACATTTTTGAATCCCTTGACGCGTTTGCAAGCGACCATGTGATTTTCATCGAATTCCGAGCTGACTTTTTCTACTGTTTTGTTGTTGCTTATGCACGGAAGTCCTACTTCCGGTTTGAATTAATCCGAACCATTTTCATTTTTGAGTTTGTTGGTCTGTTTGTAGGTTACCATGCGATTTTGATTCGATTCTGTTCCAATTTTTCCGCACGCCTATTTTCTGATTTTCACGTTATTTGACTATGTTTTCTATATGCTTTGTGTGCGGACTTGCACTTGATACATGTTCATGTTTGCTTGGTTGATTGAATGATATTGCATTTTCTTTTTTGGTTTTTTAGAATTGATTCCATTTTCATTTTGCATTTTAGCATAATTGTTACCGTTTTTCTTGCTATATTTTGTTTTTCATGTCATGTAGCTACTCGTGCAACTTCCAATTGCGTTTGCTTGTTATTATTAACGTGTTTGCTATTTTTTGCAAGGAATTACCAAAGAGATTCTGACGATGCTATTTGTTTAGTGTTCTGCTTTATCTATGGGACACAAATTCATTTCTCAATTTGTTTTGTGTTTCACTTTATTTGTGATACACAAATGCGTTTTCGATGCGATCTTGTGTTGTCATCATGCTATGAGGCGCATATGATTGTTATTTCTGTATGGATTTCATCTCTTTGCAGAATATTGGCTTATTCGATTGTGTCTGATACACATCATTTGTGATTCATGTCACATTATGACACTTTGATGCTTCAACGCATATTCTGACTTTGTTTATTGTTGTTGATAGCTCATTCGAGATTGTCTAGGTTTCTTGTTGCTATCAGTTTAGTGACACGCTTTTGTTCAATTGGTAGCCCAATTTATTTCCTTTATCTCTCGCAATTTTAACCGCATTTTATTGTTTCCTGATGCCATGAGAAGTAGGATAGAGATGTATGACGGGTACTTTCGTTCCTTATTATGTCAGGAACCCCTTTGGTTTATTTAAAGACATGTTTAAGGCAATTCCACACTTGTTTGCTAATTGTGTTTGTGGATTATTTTAAGACCTACCTTCGAAGTAAGCGTTTTCGCTGTGTGTTTACATTTGTGCCTAAAGACCTCAAAAAGAGGCGCCCATTCTCATTCCTCTTGATAAGTCCTTAAAGAAGGCGAGCGGAAAAGGGTTCACAATCAACCCCCGCACATTCTAGTATGTGTCATCCTTAGCGCGTGACGCACCATGATGCTTTGAAGTGTGATTCTCTTGTTATCAAGTCGTTCAGATGGAAAATGGATTTGTAATCGATTCCCCACACTTTATCTTGAGCTCATATTGGGCGATGTTGATGCTCCATGCTTATAACTTTCCCCTTACTCTTCTTTCCTGGTAATACGATACCATGGTATAGGCGCTTATATTCCCACAGATAGCTTGTTTTCCTCGGTTGATATGTCCCCTTGGCTAAAGCTCCCCCTTATCTCCTGCCTCGATTCATGATATCTTGGTTAGGAATTTTGGCTTGAGTTAGCGTGTTCTACTCATGACATGTGTGTGCTCTCTTGAGCTTGTTGATTGTTTGTTTGCTTTTTATCCTTGTATATGCCATGTTCCCTTAGGTTTTGAACATTTGTATGCTCCCTTAGGATCACTCAATTAGGGTAGCTTTCAAGATAGCCATTAGTATATGTATCCATGCAAGCTAACGTAGCTAGAGATTTCCCCTTTTCATCCTCAACCATAGGGCCATCATTGTATGATAACATTAGGTATTAGAGATAGGTTAGTCTCCTTCAGTTGTTTGCATCCTTAAGACTAAAACCTTTTTCTTGGAAAATGCATAAAACATATAACAACTATCAAATCCTCTTTCAAGGTAAAAAAACACCAACCAACTGAAACCTTTTTTCTGCCTTCGGGCTTTGCATCAAAACTAATCGACTTTTCAAAAGAACATGTTAATTCACTTATGTGTTGACGCGTGAATCTCCAAAGTTCGAGTTACGGTAGAAGGCGAAATTAATATTGTTCATTAAGAAACACACAAGAAACCGAAACATGTGAGCTGAACTACGACACTCTGATTCCTTAAAAGGGATACATAAACATCTAGTCACGGGGCTCAACCGAGTGAAACTTTGTAAATGTTTCCTTCTTTTCCCCGTGTTTTCTTTTGAATGCATTCCCTCTTTGCATTTTATTTTTAGCTCTTAAGCTTTAGATTTGAATACACCTTGTGATCATAATAACATGAGTGGATATCATAGAGTACTACGAGCATGTGAGATACTAATACCTTCCCCTCGCATAACAGACTCCCTTACCCGATCTCTTGGTTGTTTGATCTTGATTTCACCCTTCTCAGGTTTACTCAATGTTTACCTTTCCATTCCTATGGGATAAAAAACATTCGATGGCGACTTCATTGATTTCATCTCGATGATTTGTTCAGCTGGTTGTTTCGGACTCCACCTAGATATTGGAGCAGATCATATTTAAGGATAACCAACAAATGTGATGTTGTGCTTAATAATATGTCAGAGGCATTTAATAGTGTTATTCTTGAATCAAGAGCAAAACCACTTGTGACAATGCTTGAGGAGATCAAAACTTACATAATGGAGAGATGGGAAAAAATATAATGAGGTTCTAAGATGTATCTGGTAATGATATTTTTCCCAACATTAGAAAGAAGATTGATGTAACAAGCTGTTTTACAAACTTATGGCTGGTCGGGTATGGAATATGATTGTCTGCTACTGTTATTTATAGTATTGGTTGTTACTGATATTTATAGAATTATCTATTATTGTAGAATGTCAGATGAGCACATATTTGAAGTAAGGCATTTAGAAAATCCAACTGAAACTTTCATTGTGAATTTGAAGGACTACTTGTGCTCTTGAAGAAGATGGATTCTCATAGGACTCCCATGTGTCCATGCAATGTTTTCTATGAAGAGTAGGAATTTTAAAGCTAATGATTATATTCCCCAGTATTATAGGATATCTAAGTACAAGGCAGTCTACAAGCATGGGCTTTACACTATGAATGGATCCAATATGTGGGTTAAGACTCCATATCCAGATGTGCAACCACCTAAGTACCGGAAGATGCCTGGTAGACCAAAGAAAATGAGAAACCTTGAGAAACGGGAAATTGATGATAGTGACAAAAAATGAGAAGAATAGGTTTTTCAAGTGCTCTAGGTGCAAAAAAGCAACACATAACAAGAAGACCTACAAGGTTACACCAGCAACTCAAGCAAGTCAGACCACAGCTACTCATGCTTTCGCATCTCAGGTCAATGCAAGTCAGGCCACCGCTACTCATGCTCCAGCATCTCAAGCAAATGCTAGTCAGGCCAATGCTACTCATGCTCCAGCATCTTAGGCTAATGCAGGTTAGGCTAATGCAAGTCAGGCCAATGCAAGTTAGACTAATGCAAGTTAGACCTATGCAAGTCTGGTAGCAACAAATGCAACACAAGCTTCAACTTCTAAGGCCAATGCATATCAGGTAGCAGAAAATTAGGGATACATGAGTGCAACTCATTCTTCTCAAGGAAAGGCAATATCAGGAGGGCAAAGCACAAAGAAAAATGCAAATGGAGCTGCTAAGCCACAACAACTTGGTGTAAGAAGGCCCTTTGCACCCCTAGGAACAACAACCAGATTATCTCTATCCAAGAATGTGGTTGTTCCTACCATCAGAAGGTCTAGTCCAACCAAGAGAATCACACCAAAGAGAACCATCTAGTCATATTTATGCCTTATCTAGTTAATGGTATTAGCATGTCAATGTAACATTTTGGTATTATGTACTATATTTTGAACATTGTCTATGTAACATGTCAATGCATTTTGGAACCTTTATAGAAATATGTTAATATATTTGAACATGTCTATGTAACATGGAAATGTCTGTTTATGTTAATGATTAAGTATTTTGAGTATGAAAATTGTTGTGTTTATGGCCATGATAAGTTATGTTAAATTGATAAACTGTGTTACAATTGATAAGTTGCATTATAATTGATAATACGAACTCTTATAATCATGGTTGATAAAAATTATGTCAGGCAATAGAAATCATTTGAAATTTATAAATTGTGTTACAAATACACATTACATAGACATAACAACTGATACATACTCCTAAAACATCTTAAAAAACCCTACACGTATCATTCTAAAACACATAATGTTCAATAATTGTTTCCACTTCATCTTCTTGTTCAGTTGAAGTTGAAGTTCCATCACAACATTCCCTAATTCTTCATGGTTAAACCTCAAATTTTCAACCTAGACTTTGGTTTCATCAAATTCCTTTAATATACTTTCCAACCTATTCATCAAAACTTGATTTCTGTCTTCTGCAAATTCCTTACATAATCAATTGAGAAAACCACATCCTCTTTGCAATGAACCTTGCAATTTCAAATATGGATGAAAATATAATTAATAGTTATGAACAAACTCAAACCCAAATTAGGGATTACCTTATAATTGTGGCAACCCCAAAATTTCTTTCAAAAATTCTTCTCAGTGTTTGCCCTACAAAGGACAACTTGATCTCCACAATGGCAAATTGGTACAACTCGCGAGCTAGTATAAATAAATGACTCACCACTTTCAGAATTATTCTTCTTCATAAACGAATAACATTGGCTGACCTTCATCGTTCAGTGAAGAAATTGTAATAAGAAGATGAGAACGAAGCTGATGGGTACGGGAACAAAGATATCGTGAGAAGACGAACAAAAAACAAAGATGAACGAAGATAAAAACAAGAGAAGGGTGAATAATATTGAATAGATACTTGAACGAAGAATATAAAGAAGAAGATGACATATTGCCAACTCATCTTCCAGGTAGACAAAATATACTAACGTTTGAGGCCAACTGACGGAAGGGACTTCATTGTATCATTTAAAAACTTAAAGGACCAAAATGGCACGAAAAAAGATTAAGGGATCAAATTGAACCATGACCTATAGTTAAGGGGACCAAAAAGGGTATTTTACCTTTTATTAAATATGTCATGTCAGGTTAGACCTTAAATAGGCTAGGCTATAGGCACTTATAGGCCGACCTAGCCTATTCTCATTCCTACTCATAATCCAAAGAAAGTGACAATCATAACAATGATAATCTAATATTTCCAAATTCTAATGTTATGCAACCAAAGGAATTCAAGAAACTAGGTCGCTTAAAGGGACAATCACAAAAACGACATAAAAGTTGTATATGGTTTTAATATAATTTTTTTGAGTAAAATAATGATTTCAACATTTGTAATTTTTAGATTTTATTTTATTGTTCGAGAAGTAAAAAATAAAAATTGTCTTTTGAGTAAAATATGTATACTTTTTTAGGATTAAATATATTTTTAGTTTATATCATAAGCCTTTTGCATGTTGCTAAAACAAAAGAAGAAGAAATTATTATATGTGATAATAACATATCAAGTACATATGGAACCAAAGGTGGTCTAAGATACACAAAAACATAAACAAAA